AGTCTTGGCAATGGTGGTCCCTTTACTTTGTTTGACTTCCTTCGAGGAAGCAGTAGCTTTATCCTTGGCACTATGCCTTCGATCAAAGGCTAAAGATATAAAAGAAAGCAAATTTAGAAAAGCAGTTGAGAGAATCTTTTTGATTGAACCAAGTCGAGAGACTCGCCCATCCCACACCTTCATGTATTGGAGAAAGTATGTGAATATGCTCTACATCGACATGAAGGTGACCTTTGAAACTGCCCAGTGTATGCTTAGTCGGAACCACCCATTTAGTAGGTTTTTGAAAATCTTGTTGTAGAACCTTTAGGTGAGACCCACATACGAACCATTATGGAAATGAAGGTACGAATGCCAAGTCGAAATCAGCATTTAGCGGTTTTGGGAATCTTGGGGATTCGATCTTGGAAGCTAGCTCATACAAGTGTTCAGGTCTAACACACGGAAGAAGGCGAATATTGGGAGTTTTTTTCATGAACTTTTCTTTCTAATTTACTGTTGCATCACATAGGGTTCGACTAGGATTGTTTGGTCTATACGCAGTTTCAAAGTACTTTTGGAATGAGCGATTCTCTTTGATATGAGTGGCCGTAACTTTCTTAAAGCGATCTTGTATAGAGGCCAAAGCACGACTTAGATGTCTAGTAAAATCAGACACATTAAATTTCTGTTGGTCTAGTAATTCTTCGACCAAGTGTCAAACTCATGTGTGCAGTAAAAGGATGGCCGAAAGGAAATAGGTATGAACATGGTGTTGTAGCCGAAACTTTTCTCTCTCATTTTCAAAAGAAATTCTCATGCTCCTAAGCTTATGAGGTATTCAAGACTACTCAAGAATGATTAGATGATCCTCCTTCTAAACAGTGGCTTATAATTAGGGTTTTGGTTTTCTTAGAGTAAATTGGACTTCTAATGCCTCAAGTGGACTTCATGGTTTCTCATATGTATCAAGGTATCCTCATATCAAATTTCAAGCCTTACATCACAAATTTGTTCAATCAATTGCTCAGATGATTGAAAATTAACTATATTAGGTAAAAAGTCAATTGTGGTCAACATATAGTCAAACTTCAAAGTTTTTGGTCAACATAAATATTTTTAAGTTACATTCACTATTTGATCAAGGGTTGATCATAACCCATCAAGAAAACTCAAGATTCATCAAAAGTCAAAAGTTACTAAATTAGGGTTTTCTTTAGGAGAAGTCAACTAAACTTTGACCAAACATAACTTTCACATGCTTCATCAGAAAGTTCTCAACCAAAACTCATTTTGAAGCAAATTCAATTCTCTACATCTTGGTCTCTCTAAGATCAAGGCCAAAAATGCTTCATTTGAGAGATATGGGCTAAAATATTATATGTCATTTTAAAAGTCAACAAAAAGACCCTTTTTGTCAAAGCAATTTACATCACGATAAAGTCTTCAAATGGAAACATGATCAACATGAGAGTTGTAGGGTACATCTTGAGATTTTCCTAGAAGTCAAAGAACACCTTCATATAATAAAAATTAAGCAAGTTATGGGTTTTACAAGTTGGGCAATTTTGAGAAAAGGCATGAAACTCAAATTGAGCAAACTTGAATTTTTGGGCTAATGGGCTTATCTTTTAGAGTTCAAACGTGTTCTTGACCTTATAATGGACCTCTAAATATATTCATACACCCTTTTAATTTTTTATTTTATTTATTTAAATTCAAAATTAAATCAAATAAATATCAAATAATGGATAAAGCATAAAAGGCTTAAGATTTGATTTTGTTTGGGGCCCCAAGATCATACAAAAACCGTGTGGAATTATTTTGTGAAATAAATCTTGATGTTTTGCAAGATTTTTATCTATTTTTATAACAAAATAAAAGTGTTTTAGAAAGAGTTCAAACCCTTTTTTTTGACCTAATCTTCTCATATATATACACTTCATCTTCAGGCAAGAGAGAACAACGAAACCTTGCAAGAAAAACACTTTCCAAATCTCAAAAAATTTTGTCAAACTAGGGGAATTTTCAAACCATATTTTTAGCCTTTCTCCATGCAAGCTAGCTGTCTCAATCAATTCCAGAAGTCTCATAGAGTAAGTATAGATCATTCTTGGTGATCAAAAGTGCATGAAACAAGCATCTCATGCATCTTCGATAGCCATATTCTTTGTAAATTTGTATTCTGATTTCTATCGTGCTTTGATTCATACTAACAATAATATGTGCTTCTGAGGTAGAACTATGCAGTTTTAACCCATCGCATGACGCATCAAGTGTTCTTGAGGAATGATATAAAAAACTATTACAAAGACAACCGTACTTTGGCTTTTCAAAATATTTGCAAACACTTACACATAAAAAAAAAACAATTTTCAAAAGTGAGCTAGCGATTAAGAGCTCATAGATAACTACGGATGAAAAGGGTGCTAATACATTTCCTATTCATAATTTACCCCCCGAACTCAAAATCTTCAAGGTCGTTCCTGTTCTTTTCACCCTTTTCTTATTGGATAAAAGAAAAGTCGGTGGCGACTCTAGCTATCCGCATATTTGCGATAAAAATTCAAAAGTCAGTTCTTCCATCGTATTACCCATGGTATTTCCAGTATATCAAGCCATGTGCTTTTTATATCCTTCTTCAGTGGAAGCTAGTTTTTTTTCTTCGTTATGGTTGAAATTGGTTATGTTTTGTTAGGATTGCAAATGACGTATATTCGTCAAGGGTTGAAATGACGTTGTTTCGTGATGAAAATAAAAATATACGACTAAATAGACAAGTTAACTAGATTTGTTTCCTTAAAGTGAATAATCATATCACCACAGTTGTTCATTAAAACTGTTGTGATATATGATGAAATTTATAAAAAAGTGTCAGATTTTAAGCATTTAAAAATTTAAAAATTTAAAAAAATAATGAAAAGTATATCAAAAAGGATTATTTAAGTAACCGTAGAGATATAAGATTTATATTAATGATATTTTCTATAAAAAAAACTTCAGATTTTATGTCATTAAAAATTAAAATAAATTTGAAAATATATCACAACAGTTAGATTAAAGAACCGTAGTGATATATCACTTTCATTTTTTAAATAAAAATGAAAAGCGTAACTAAAATACTGAAGAAATCACGAATTAACAAGCGCTGAGAATCGAACTCATGAAAATTATAAGATATCACCGCAGTTATTTTAAAAACTCGTGGTAATACAATTTAAAACATTTAATTAAAAAAATATAAATATATATAAACACCTAATTTTTGAGATATCACCACGGTCCTTCGAAAGACCGTGATAATGATGACTTTGTTGTATGTATTTTTTGTAGTTGTACAAGTATAATTATGCTTTCTAAAATTGATTCTAAATGAAGTTAGAATTTATAATTTTTGAGTCTATTGTGACTTTTATATTGAAATTTATTATTCAACTCATTTTTATTAAAAATTATCCAAATATAATTCGTTTTATCTTCGACTCACTTTTAGACAAAATAAATTTTACTTTATCAATTCGCTCAAAATCGTTTTCCTTCATTACAAAATCAGACACACACTAAGTAGTTTGAATTCAAAATAAACTTTTTCATATTTATTGTTCTTTAATCTACTACTTGTCTCATCAGCTAAGTTTAAGGCCCGGTAGGTGTAAGCAGATTACAAAAAATCAATTAAATCGATAATTTGAACTAAATTAAATTATAAAAATTATTATTTTTTAGTTCAGTTCAAAAATCATACCAAACTGAACTGATGAAGACCAGAATAATTTGGTTTAATTTTCAATTTTAATTTTTATAAATTACTAAGCCGATGAATCATATTGATGACTATAATTAATCACTTAATTTTTTATTCAACTAATTTTTAAATTCAATTCAATTAAATCAATCAATTTGATTTAGTTTCATTTTTAAAAAATATTAAAAGCCAAATCAAATTAAACATCAATTCAAATATTTTTTATCCCAAAAATAGTTCAGATCAAATAGATTACGGTCCTATCTAAATGTCATATAATTCAAATAAAGCAAATTTTTTATTCTAAAAAGTGGCTTCCTAAGAGAGATTACCCCACTTATTAACGAAAATCGGAAATCAATCTCGCAATTATCCGCCCAATAATTCCATGCTTTTTCTTTTGATTTTGAAGGAGTTAATAAATAAATTGGCACCAAATCATATGCAAATCCATTATTGATTTTGACCCTAGTGGGAAATCTACTCCAAAAACCCTACCAATTTACCTTTTTCCAGAGATGTGTTATTGTGCATAGGGTGGCAAAGTGGGCCCGACTAGTTCAACATGTCTGTTTTATCCGTATTTTAATACGGAATAAACCAAAAATTTACGTTCTCATTTTTTAATATGACCGTTCCGTTTCGTCCCGTTTTTTTCGCAGACATGATTATTAACATAAATTTTGTATTTTTTGAACTAAAAGATGCAGTGCTCACAGACTTTCTCCGTCCACTCTTACTTTTTTTGCCAGACAGATCTAAACTTTAAACCCTCATCTTCAACTATACCCCCTCACCTTATTCTACCCTATTTTTTTACAAATTTTTACGAGATAGACATAAACGGGACGAGCATGCCTTTTGTCACCTTAATTGTGCAACCCTAAGCCACACGATGACTTAGTAATAGTTGTTGTTTTCTTAAAATCACTAGTGTTGTCATGATTGTTATTAAAGTTTTAGGGTAGTTACATGCCTATTTTTATGCTCTTTTACTATTTTATTCAAAGCATGCACACATTACAACATCACTTTACTTTAAAGATAAAGAACTAGAGTGGAATGTCAATCTATTTGTAACTTGCGTAGAAAAGCAACATTGGATTCCTTTTTTAATAGACTTGATTTATTCTCATCCTAAATTGAAGGAGTGGCTGCATAATGTAGAACATTACATTATTGATTTTCACTTTGTTCCCAAAATATTCTTCAACAACAAAATATACTTATATTATAGTAAACCATTGCCTCTTTTCCTTGCTCTCTACAAGCTCAAATGGAAATATTGAAATTCTTTTACTTCATTAATCTTTTGATTCTTCTCTCTATTTTCATCTTATCATCATCATTACCAATTGATCCTTATTCACAAGCACTCTTGAGTCTTAAATCTGAGCTTATAGATGATAACAACACCAACTTAGATGATTGGGTGATGCCTTCGGGAAAGAACTTATCTAAAAGCCTAAGTTCATATGCATGTTCTTGGTCTGGAATCAAGTGTAACAAGAATTCAGTTGTAACATCCATAGACCTTTCCTTGAAGAAACTCAGAGGTACACTATCATGTAACGGATTCAGCGTCTTTACAAATCTTATCAATTTCAACCTAAGCTATAATTTCTTCTCCGGAAATCTTCCACCCGAAATTTTTAACCTCACAAGCTTGAAAAGCTTGGACATAAGCAAAAACAATTTTTCAGGTCAATTCCCAACCGGAATTTCAAAACTAAAAGAATTGATTATATTTGATTCACTTAGCAACAGTTTTTCAGGTAAATTACCTGCGGAATTTTCAGAACTCGAATATCTTAGGATTCTTAACCTAGGTGGAAGTTACTTCACCGGAACAATTCCATCTGAATATGGTTCTTTTAAAAGCCTTGAGTTTCTTCATCTAGCTGGAAATTCTCTATCCGGAAATATACCTCCGAATATTGGTAACCTTCAAACCCTAACTCACATGGAAATTGGCTACAACTTTTACCAAGGTGTCATTCCACCACAACTAGGTAATTTGAGTCAGCTTCAATATCTTGACATAGCGGGTGGTAATCTTTCTGGTTCTATTCCAAAAGAATTTTCCAACCTCACAAGTTTGCAATCACTTTATCTATTCAAAAACCATTTCACCGGATCAATACCAAGCGAGCTCGGTAAAATTAAGTCTCTTACCAATCTAGATCTCTCTGATAACTTCCTTTCCGGGTCCATTCCCGAAAGCTTTTCGAAGCTGAACAACCTAAGACTTCTTAGTCTCATGTACAATGACATGAGTGGAACTGTTCCAGAAGGCATTGCAGAACTCACACTCTTGGAAACTCTTCTTATTTGGGAGAATAATTTCTCTGGATTACTTCCAAAGAGTTTAGGAAAAAACTCCAAACTCAAATGGGTTGATGTCTCGACAAACAATTTCAAAGGCGGCATTCCACAATACATCTGTTTCGGTAGAGTACTGTATAAGTTAATAATGTTTTCAAACTTATTCACCGGAAGTGTTTTCTCAATCTCGAATTGTTCTTCCCTTGTTCGGCTTCGCCTTGAAGATAATTCATTCTCGGGTGATATCAACGTCTCTTATAATAATATGACATATCTGGATTTTTCATCGAACAATTTTGTTGGTGGGATTCCCTCAGATATTTCTCAAGCTACTCGTCTGGAGTATTTCAATGTCTCTCGTAATAATTTCACAGGTCAAATACCTGAAGATCTTGCCAATTTACCTATTCTCAAAATTGTAGATTTATCTAACAATAATTTCAATGGCCTCATACCTGCAAAATTTGGAAGTTCATCAAGTTTACAACTTCTCAACGTGTCGTTCAATAATATCTCAGGCTCAATACCAAAAGGAAAGCCATTCAAACTAATGGATAGAAGTGCTTTTATTGGAAATCTAGAGCTATGCGGAGCACCATTAAGACCATGTTTTGAGTTTCTAGGAGTATTAGGCAAATTAAGGACTTGGAAGCTTACACATATTGTGTTACTTTCTATAGGATTGTTGATAATCCTTCTGGTGTTGGCTTTTGGAATACATCACTTAAGAAAAGGATTCAGGAATACAATGAAGCAATGAAAGAGAAACTCGGCAATTAAAGGTTTACAAGGGCAATAGCTAGCATTCACAAAAAATCACAGGAGGTTTTTCAAAGAGAAGCTTGTAATGCAAGTAATAAATAATCATTATGAAATGATTAAAATACCCTTTACGATAAAATGAAAATTGTACCCTTATTCTTATAATTTCTTTCGATTTATGAATTTAAGTTAAACATTAATTGACAAATAATAGTTCGGGATGTTACAAAGATCGTATAAGAAATTAACTAATTATTTATCAACAAACAATTGTTTGAGGTATGAAATGTAGGCTTCAAAAATACGCTCGTTAAGAGAAAAACAACTAAAATTAATCAAGTGTACAAAAATAATGATTTGTGTATGAAATGTACCTCCAACAATACTTTTTTAATTTAACATTAAATGACAAACATTTGTTTAAGATATGATTCTTAAAATTTATTATTGTACATATTTTTCCGTTACATGCCTAATACTTGAGGGACACTGTATATTATGATCTATTGGGTCTAGTTCTAGCCTTATGTACGTTTGAGTCTATTAGTTTGGGTTCTAGCTTAGATTTGATACAACCTTTTAAATTCGTTCAGAAGAACTTAACCGACCTAAGACAACTAACATGTCAAGTCGATTAGGCTGGTTCTGACCCCCAACATAAAGGGAGTATGTGAATTCAAAAGGGAGGGGTAATACATTTTGGAACGGATAGTGTTGAAAGTGTAATTTCTTGTTTTAAAGCAGGTTGTTATTTGATATAAGTTGTGTTGAAGGTTTTTACTCGACATAAGGTGTGTCAAAATTAGTCTGTGTCGAAGTGTGTCGAGTTGTGTCAGCCGTCGAAGTGTCGAAGCATGTTGCTTCTCACAATATGACAACTTATGTATAAAATATGTATTTTGAGCTTTTTTTTTTAAATAGAACAGACTTAGAACTTGTATTCATATAATTTTGCAGTTGCAAAGTGAATAAAGATTTTCCACAGTTTGTGGCAGAGAGTTACTCGGCAGAAACCCTAATCTCTTTTCTTCTTTAATTTTCTTTTCTTTTCATTATCATTGTGTGGTGATAACAATATTGTTCATTAAGATTGATAGAAATTTTCTATAAGTTTTGGTCGATTTTCAACATCTGGTATCAAGAGTTCCGGTTGAGCGATTCAACGCAAGCAAGAACGATGGTAATGAATCATCTAAACGAACATTTTCCAACAAGTCTTCCAATTCCTAAAGCTGATAACTAGGAGAATTGGAGCAAGAAGATGAAGGTTGTGTTTTGTTGTCAAGATCTTTGGGTCTTATGAAATATGGATTAGAACCACTTGAAGACGATGTTTCAGAAGAAGAAGAGGCGGAATACAAAGAATCAAAGAAGAAGAATTATAAAGCTCTCTTTATAATTCATTAATGTTCGAGTCCAGACAATTTTGAAAAGATTAGTGATATAGAATTTCCAAAAGAAGCTTGGGAAGTTCTTAAGAAATCTTTTTGAGATACAGAAAACGTGAATGAGGTGAGGTTACAAACTCACAAAAGAACGTATGAATTGCATCAGATGGAAGATAGCGAGAGCATATCTCATTTTTTCACTAGGGTTACGAAACTAATGAATCAAATCAAGATTTGTGGAGAGATGTTAACCACAAGACCTGTTGTTTCAAAGATCTTGAGATCTTTGGCTCCGAAGTTCAACCATGTGGTAGTTTCCATAGAAGAGTCAAAGAACATGTCAACTTTTTCGAAGGAAGAGCTTCAAGGGACGCTTGAATCTTATAAACAAAGAATGGCTGAAAGAGCTGCAGACAAGTCAAAGAGTGATATGGCTTTGCAGGCGCAGTTAACAAGAGACAAGAAAGGCAAAGGAAAGTGGTTCGACAATAAAGGTAGAGGAGGCCACACCAATTCGACTGGTAGAGGAGACCAATAGGAAGGAATTGTGTCGAATCAAAGAAGACTCCCACACCAAGGCAACCAAAGACGTGGTGCTGGAGGTAAAGGAAGAGGTGGTGGTCGAAAAGCTGACAAGATTCACATTCAATATTACAATTGTCATAAGTATGGTCACTATTCTAGTGATTGTCTAGAAAATTGAAAGAATCAAGAAAGTGATGCAAAATTCACAAAATATGAAGAAGAAGAGATGATGCTGATGGTCACAACAAGAGATGAATAGAAATTCAAGGACCGATATTACTTGGATTTAGGATGCTTATCACATATGTCTGAAAGGAAATATTAGTTTGTCAACATAAAGCCCTCGATAAAGAATATGGTGAAATTTGAAAACGGAAATTTTCTAGTAATTTAAGGTAATAGTGATGTTCTGATTATGAGGAAAGATGGCAAGAGGTCAGTAATTTCCAATGTGTTGTACAAACCAGTCATGAAGAGCAACTTGCTCAGCATATGGAAGTTGGTAGAAAAAGAATTATAAAGTTCCGATCAAAGACAAGATGATAAGAGTCGTCAATGCAAGAGGAAGGTTAATCTTGAAGGCTCCTATGTCTCATAATAAAACATTCAAGATTGAACTAAATATGATGGAGCACATATGCATAGAAACTGGAGCTAGTAGAGATGAGTGGATATGGCATTATCGACTTGGTCATCTCAACTTCAGAGACATCAGATGTTTGAAGAGAATAAATATGGTTTCAGGATTACCAAAAATCAACATTCCAATTGAGGTGTGTGAGGAATGTATGCAGGTAAAGCAGAACAAGAACAACTTCAACAAGGATGCGGGAAGCAAGTCGAAGGCAGTCCTCAAAGTCATATACTTTAATGTATGTGGACCAATTTAGGTGGATTCAATGGGAGGTAACAAATACTTTGTCATATTCTTAGACGATTTCAGTCAAAAACTATGGCCTTACCTGATCAAGAAGAAAAGTAAAGTGATTGAGGTATTTGTCAAGTTTAAATCTATGGTCGAAATGTTAAGTTGTCGAAGCTCAAAGTTTTGAGAAATGATGGTAGTGGAGAGTATTTTTCAAAATACTTCTAAAAATTATGTGAAAAAGAAGGGATTGTGCATGAGGTGGTGCCACCCTACACACCACAGCAGAATGGAACTGCATAAAGGAAGAATCGAACCATCATGGATATGGTGAGAAGTATGTTAAAAGTCAAGCATTTACCTAAAGAGTTTTTGGGTGAAGTTGTGTCAAATGTAAAATATATCTTAAACAGCGATGAAGAAGCTAGAAGGAATTACGCTAGAAGAATGTTAGTCTGGTATTAAACCTAGCTTGATTAATCTGAAAGTGTTTGGATCTGTAGCACATAGACATGTGTCAAATCAGTTGAGAATAAAGCTTGATGACAAGTCGAGTCAGATGATCCTAGTAGGATATCATTCGACAGGAGGTTACAAGTTGTTTGACCCAGTGAATAAGCAGATTATGATCAGTAGGGACATGATCATAGATGAGCTTAAAGAATGGGATTGGAATGAAAATGTCAAGAAATATTTGGTGAGAATCTTACTTGAAAAACAAGAAACTCAAGTCAAAAGAGAAGTTTGATAAGAGGAAGTTAGAGATCAACCAAGTACAAGCAGACCTCCGAGAACAAGACACATTCCTACAAGATTGCAAGATTGTGTGATTACATCAGATGATATGGTCGATGATGAAGGTGAGTTCGTACATTATGCTTTCTATGTAGATGGCGAATCAGTCAATGCAGCTGAAGCATTTAAGGATTTGAAGTGGTTGAAAGCTATGAATAAGGAACTGAAGTCCATCGAAGACAACAACACTTGGTCACTTGTCTAATTTCCTCAAGGCAAGAAGACAATTGATGTAAAATGGGTATACAAGGTGAAGTTGAATCCCATAGGAGAAGTAATTCGACACAAGGCAAGACCTGTGGCAAAATGATTTCTTCTGAAGAAATGAATCAACTTTGATGAAGTCTTTGCACCTGTGGCTAGAATTGAAACAATCAGGTCGGTTGTTGGTCTAACAGAAATGAAAAATTGGCACATATGTCTGAAGGAAGTTGTGATACAATGGCAAAACCGACTGTTATACTGGTTTTGTGTTTTTGTTCACAAATGTTGCGGTAAGCAAGAGTCGTCACCGACTTTTTTTAATCTAAATTAAGGAAAGGGTGAAAAGAACAGAAAAAGACCTTTTCTAGAATTTTCTGAGTAAGGGGTAGATTATGGAAAGGGAAGGTGTTAACACCCTTTCCATCCGTAGTTTTCTATGGGCTCTTAGATGCTTAGCTCATTTTTTCGAAATACCTTGTGATTTTGTGTGTTTTGAAAAAGTAGTTTGAAAATGCCTTAGTGCGGCGATTCGCTTTATGATAACTCTTGTATCAGTCCCCAAGAGTGTTGACAAAGCATTTTTTTAAAGTGTTTTTGAAATGTCTTGTGTAAGTGTAGAAAGTTTGTTTTTGAGCAAGCATTTAAGAACTATCTACTTATACTCAAAAAGGTTCATTCTTTTCCTCCTATCCTTTAGACAATTCTATCCTACTAGTAATGAGTAGGTAGCCATATTGTTGGATGTTTGAGGGACATTCGAAGGGACGTATAGTCATAAAGACAACATATGGAGATGCTTTAGCAATTTTGCTTAAGGGACGAGATCATTTACCGAAAGGCAACACTGTAGGGTCATCGAGGGACTATGATCTTTTGATTTACGTGTCTTTGCTAAAGCGTCCCCATTTTTTAGGGACATGACTGTTTTATTTTCCAAAAGGAAACCAAAGTGGGCATACCCTAGAGGTGCATATGTGCAAGTGTGTTATGTTCATGTTATTTTAGTCTTGTGTTAAGTTTGCTAACGCTTGATTTTAACCTTTGTCATAAAATCCTATTAGTCTAGCAGTTAATATGTACAAAAATTTTAAAATGCGGAAAGTTAAATCTACGCTATCACAATGCTTTGAGGAAAGGGTATTTACATGTCAAAAATGGGGGAAAATAAATAAAAGCAGTAAAGCCCAAGTTTAAACTATTACATACCATCAGCAGATACAT